TATATGTATATGTATATGTGTATATATATATGTATATGTATATGTGTATATATATGTGTGTGTGTATATATAAACTTAATATGAAAATTGTTTCTTATATCAATGGTAAACTTTAAATTTATGATTAAATGCAACAAAATAAACTAAATTAAAAGGTGAAGGATAATAATTGTCCTGCCCCTGAGCTGTTTGCTTTTTTTTTTGTCTGAGCTTTAAGCCTTAAGTAACTGAGCAATTTAGTTGGATAGCTCAGTATTAATGTCTCAAATTAAGCTGCTTTAAAGTCAGCATCAACCATAAACTAAATCTGCCATAATGCACGTGGATCATTCATGAGAGTTCCCTGTCAGAAAGTGGGAGAGTTAAGAATTCAAGATGGCAGCTACTAACTAGAAACTCATCAGTGAGTAAAACTTCATTAGTTTTACCTTTTAATATTATTATATATTATAATATTATAATAACATATAATATTACCATAACATATAATATTATATTTCTGTATTTATTTCAGATGTAGTCAGTCGTACACTTAGTTCAAGAGGACATGTTGAAACACTGTTCAGTCAAAAGTGAACATGAAACGTCAAAGTTAATCACAACTGGCCCTTAAGGGCCACCATAACGCTCATGTGGCCCTTGGTGAAAATGAGTTTGACTCCCGACTTGTTTGTGTTTCAGGACTCCCAGGAGTTCCTGCGCTGCCTGATGGATCAGCTTCACGAGGAGCTGAAGGAGCCGACGCCCGAGCCGACGCTGGAGCCTTACGAGCAGTCCAGCTGCATCAACATGGACGACGGCCCCGAGGAGGACAGCCGCAGCCAGTCGGACAACGACTTCCAGTCCTGCGAGTCCTGCGGCAGCAGCGAGCGGGCTGACAATGACGCGCAGGCCGGGAGCTCGCCGGCGGACAACACCAACGAGGCGGAGATGCTGATCCCGGAGCCGGATGAGATCCTGGCCAACAGGGAGTGGCAGAAGGAGAAGAACATGATCAATGACTTTTATCGCTCCGGGGTTAATGGCGTCCTGGGAGGAAGCGCCGGAGTGGACATGGACAAAGATGTTGACACCACCACGGAGACCACGCCCATCATCAGCAGCCAAGGAGCCATCAAGCTTCAAGGCAAAGCATCAGGTAAGAATCTAAAACTTCAAATCTTCCTATTTTTATGTTTGATTAAATGCAAACCTAACTAACCTTTTCTCTTCTAGATTGCTTTTCAGATATTCAAATGTCAAACATCACAAGACCACAGAGTCCCACACCCATGGAGGGACACATTCCCAAGATGTCCAGCAGCCCTCCTAAAGCTTCCTGTGGATGGCCGAGCCTAAACCCCGCCCACAAGAAAGGTACGGACTCTTTGTTGGCAGAAGTCAGGAGATCTGATCAGGACAGGACCAGAGGTCGTACTGAGATAGAAAACTGGAAATGTAAGAAGGCTAGGAAGATAATATCCTGTTTCTCTCTGCCGTGCCTTGTGTTTGCCAGCGGTGACCACGTTCTCCCCTCCAAAGAACAAGCGTCAGAAGAAATATCGCAGCGTCATCTCAGACGTGTTCGACGGGACCATCGTCAGCTCAGTCCAGTGCCTCACCTGCGACCGGGTGAGTGCGGCTCTTAAAATCTTACCGAGCAACTTAAAGGGCCTGTGACATCTATGTTTTGTAATAAACATGAATGCGTTTTTGGAAAGAGAACATTGATAAAATATTGCAAAACAAATTTCACACAACTGAGATGAACAGTTGTTGAAATATTTGCACGTGAAAAAACAGGAAGTGATGTCAAAGGGGAGTGTCTGCATGTAAACAGAGCGTTGTTGCAACAGCCAACAACAGAGACTGTGGAGAAGGATCTGATGTTTCTTTAGATTATTTTGAGTTTCTATCAAAAAGAGATGAAGAAGAGTTAAAGTTTAAATAATATTGTTTCAGTAACAAAGACCAGAGAGTTTATTTTATTAAAGAGTTCCCCTTTGATGTCACTTCCTGTTTCACTTTGGCTGAGCTAAATCCAAAAGAAAATAGGCCAGTTATGAGACAAAATGTGTAAAATCATGTGTATTATGCTAATTTCTTAAGAATAAAGATGTTTTCTTTGACTTTTTGTATTTGAAGGACAGGCATGTCACAGGCACTTTAAAATGTCAAATTTTGCATAAATAAAAAAAGGTTTTGTCATCTGTTTAACGTGTTGCTTATTAAAGAGCAACAGACGAGTGAACTGACTCAGATTGTGTCAACTCCTGACAGCTCCTCTGCTAAAGCTGTGGCTGTTTTGTGCCGGCAGGTGTCGGTGACCCTGGAGAACTTCCAGGATATCTCCCTGCCCATCCCGGGTAAGGAGGACCTGGCCAAGCTCCACTCGTCCACCCACCAGACCTCTCTGGTGAAAGCTGGTTCCTGTGGAGAAGCTTACGCACCTCAAGGGTGGATCGCGTTTGTCATGGAGTACATCAAAAGGTGCCYGGAAAACCTGGAGTTATTTGCTGTTTTCTCTTAGATTTTCAGCTAAATTAATGTTTTTGTTTTTTTTAGCTGGTTCTGGGGTCCAGTGGTTACGCTACAAGACTGTCTTGCAGCTTTCTTTGCTAGAGATGAACTAAAGGGTAAAACAAATCAGCAGATGTTTTTATGACAAAAATGTCAAAATGAGTGTCTCATTTCTTGTTTGTTTTTTCTCCAGGAGATAACATGTATAGCTGTGAAAAATGCAAAAAGTAAGTAATTTTAAGACTTTTCTTCACYGTAATTTAAATCAGCATCGTCGTTCAACTTTTTTTTCTGCTTTAGGTTACGAAACGGAGTCAAATTTTGTAAAATGCAAAATTTGCCAGAGGTAGAGACAAAACTTTTAGTTTAAATTTTTATCCACGATGACGTTCTTTCCCCCTAAAATGATAAAATAATTTTTTCTCCGCTGCAGATTTTGTGTATTCACTTAAAGCGCTTCAGACACGAGTTGATGTTCTCCACCAAGATAAGCACCCACGTCTCGTTCCCGCTTGAGGGTCTGGACCTGCAGCCTTTCCTGGCCAAAGACAGCTCGGCACAGACCACCAACTACGACCTGCTGTCCGTCATCTGTCACCACGGCACTGCCAGCAGTGAGTGGGCACAGCCTCCCCGCACCAGTCCTGCGTTCACGTAAAATTAAAAAAAAATCACACGTCCTCATCAGATTTGTGAATGCCGCTCTCTCGCTTGTCCCAGGTGGCCACTACATCGCGTACTGCAGGAACGACGCGAACAAGCTGTGGTACGAGTTCGACGACCAGAGCGTGACCGAGGTGTCCGAGTCCTGCGTGCAGAACGCCGAGGCCTACGTGCTCTTTTACAAGTAATTCACTTCCTGCTGCTTCGGTTGTCAACATCTGCTCCACGATCTGTGCCGTCTTTTTAAAATTCAGACGTCCTGCTTTTGATCCTCTGACCAACCGGTTTGTGTGGCAGAAAGAGCAGCGAGGACGCAGTGAAAGAACGTAGGAGGGTGTCGGGATTATTCAGCATGATGGAGCCCAGCCTTCTGCAGTTCTACATCTCTCGCCAGTGGCTTAACAAGTTCAAGACGTTCGCCGAGCCGGGGCCCATTTCCAACGACGACTTCCTGTGTGTGCACGGAGGTGTGTAAAGCTGAAACCACTCCAGGGTCAGATCGGCCTTTATATACTGTATATATATCTAATAGTTATTGTGAAATGACTAAATATTCTCTCTTTGCTTTCATTCTTTGTGTGGATTTTTAATTTTAACAAAAGTCTGGAAGTACTGATTTTCATTTTAGTCAAAAATTACATTTTGAGGCTTAAAACCTGAATAATCCCACATTGTTGCTCATCTATATTTCATCTATATTTCAGTTTTTTGATCAAAAACAAACAAGAGATAATAATATTTGAATAATATTGAATTTAAATCCTTGCAAATTAAAGAAAAAGTATTAAAGAGCCATTAAACCGACAGCTGATAAGTAAAATACAGACGATTATGATTACACACCTTTAAGTGCCACTTAATCACAGGGCTCGTTTTCTTATCTTGTCACAGTCCTTTCTGCCTTTCTTCACATTCAAATCCAACATTCTGCCGTGTCTGCTGGCTCCATCTGTCAGCGTTTTATTCTTATGAAGCCTGACTCCTAATTATATTTTTATCATGTAAATAAAAATGAAAAAAAAAAATCATACAAAATATCGTTACTTTAAGAAAATCTAATTTATTGCAAATAGCAGATTGTTTTTGGGGAAATAAATGGATTAACATGGAAATGAGAAAGGATTAACATGGAAATGAGAAATTTTACTTTAGTGGGGATAGAAGAATAAAACTGTTTGTCTTTTTAAATCTTTGCAGGTTTACTCCAGATATATTCTGTGAGGAGTTGAGTAAYCTTACTCAAACATCTGTTTGGAAATCTCAAACCTAAAAGATATTTAAATATAGATTTAAAGTGCCTGTGACATGCATATCCTTCAAATATAAAAAAAAATCAAAGAAATCATCTTTATAATTAAGAATCATGTCATAAAACACACAATTGTACTCATTTTGTAACAAAACTGCATATTTTCTTTTCTTGAATCAGCCAAATTGAAACAGGAAGTGACATCAAAGGGGAACTCTTTAAGAAAGAAATCTTTCTGGTCTTTGTTTATTAAAACAATATTATTTGAACTCTGACTCCTCCTCTTCTCTCTG